CTAAGTTCTCCATATTGTATAGAACAGCAGCCGTCAGATTGGGTGTTGCCTATTAGTGACTCCATCTTAGAAAAAGCGTGGCTGCAATTTGGAGTGAAAATCCTGGAGGGAAATGAGGCAGGCCCCTGCCCCACACCATTAGGTGACTTAGAGTAAACTTTGCCATTATAACATTCAATTCTCTGTCCAGAGCCCAGCTCTGGTCTCCCATTTGTTGTTGTTTTGTTTTTTTGAGACAGTCTCTTACTATGTAGCCCAGGGCCCTTACTGCTGAATCTCCTGCCTCACACCCCACCCCAACACCATGCTGGGATCACAGGCATGAGCCATCATACCTGGCTGGCCAATAATCCTACCTTTCGGAAGACACAAGCATGTCTGTCTGTTTCTGACCTTGGCTCACTATGACAGTGACTGAACACTAGGTTCATTCTTGGTGAGTGCAAGCCAATCACGACACACAGAAGATGAAAGAGTGAAGAAAGTGAGGAGAGCACCTGAGATAATTCTCAAAGTAAACAAAGCCAGGGGCTGGTTCAGCGTGTGGTGCACATCTGTAATCCCAGCACTGGGGACTGTGGCAGAGGATCAGAGATGGAGGCCAGCCTTGGCTACTAGCAAACCTGTCACAAAAACAAAGAAATGAATAAACAGACAACAAACAAACAAAAGCAGGTTCTTGTTTGGGGACACATACATCTTTAAATAGACAAGACTCTTTGTGATTGGTGCCCAGGCACTTCTTGAGCACGCTCAATTCAAAGTCACACTTCATTGTTTTCAAACATGGGGGATCAGAGCTGGCTCTGGACGGAGAATTGAATATTATCATGAGCAGAGTTTTACTCTAGGTCACCTAATAGGGGTGGGCAGGAGCTGCAGACAATTTTGGCTGGCTCCTTGGAATTTCTCTGGTGGGCCTTATTTGCAACAAAAAGCAACTCTGGATGGACACAGTCATTTCCCCTGGTCCTGAAAGTGCCTGCCTAGTGGCTAACAATATGACTGGGCAGGGGGGAGGTAACAAATAATCATCCATAGAAAGGCCTGCGAGGTCACATGCTGAAAGGGAACCAGTTCAGGAATCCTCACATTCCTTTACAACTATGTCTGAAGTGATTCTCTTTCGAAGTCCCTTTCCGGTCTCTCAAGCCTGTCACAGGTTGGTCATCTCACCACAGCATGTTGGTCAGGGTGTAAACCCCTGGGACTACACAAAGTGACAAAGATTTCAAACACTGACTTTGAAGAATCTTTAACTCAGGCCCTGTAACCTGTGGCTTCCCCATTTATCCTCTGAGAGTTGCCTTTCAATAAAATTTCATGCTGAACAATAATATCACACTTATTAATGTTTGTACGTTACTTTAAAATGTATTTTATACTCTAATGCAATTATAACTCAACTCAGAAGACCTTTTTTATACTTGGTGTCTTATGGCCACAGGAAATAAGCAGAATTTAATTTCTTTTATGGACCTATCTTTTGTGGCAGAGGAATTCAATATGTAACCAATCAATAGACGACTTTCAAGTATAAAAATACATGAGTCAGGATAAAGTTCTGTGGGGAAATGTAACGGGTATCTGATTTAAGGAGAAAAAAGGTAAGATATTAACTTTTTTGAGTGTTAAATAAGCATTTACATTTTGAAGTGTTTGAAGGTGGGAGTCAACTTAAACATCTTTAAAAGAGCTGGGCATGGTGGCACATGCCTGTAATCCCAGCACTCAGGCTGAGGCAGGAGGATTGAGAGTTTAGGTCAGCTTGAGCGCATAGAGACTCTGTACAAAAAGCAAGGCTGGGATGCAGGTCAGTGGTAGGCCTTGCCTAGCATGGCAAGGCCCAGGTTCTATCCCCCAAATTGAAAAAAAAAGTAATACATGACTAGACATGTAGAGCTATTGTAGGATTATGGATGAGGCACGCAAAATATCTAGGGTAGTGCTCAGTGCGGCAGCTATTATCTGAGAGACTGACATCTAATTTTAAACCTCTTTCCTCTCTGGCATTTAGTCCAAGGCACTTGTTTTTCTCTGTGCTTCCATTGTTCAGGCAAAGGACAGCACAGATGGCTGTAAATGATTTGAATATAGGAATTAGCATATTGTACCTGGCATCATTAATGTCAGTGGCGATTTTCACAGTGAATGAACATGTATGTGTGGGGTCTATAGCTCAGAACATACAGCAGGCATTTAAAAATATGTATGACGCTGCATATGGTGACACAGACTGTAATGCCAGCACTTGGGAGGCCGAGGCAGGAGGATCATGAGTTCAAGAGCAGCCTGGGCTACATAGCAAGACTGTCTCAAAAATGGTTATGGACTGAGTCGATGCTAAAAGGAAACTTGGTGGAGTGAAAGACCATATGCCAGTTTACTGGACACCTTCCTTTAGTACCCGTGTTTCTATTCCCATGGTGCAACTTAAGCCCATTTTGGGTTCTCCCATAAGCAACCTTTTAAAAATTTATTTATTTATTGATGCAGTGTTGGGGATCACACCCGGATTTTCACATGCTGGGTGAATGCTCTACAAACTGTGTTACAGCCCAGCATATGTTAACCTTTTTTTTTTAAATGCTCTCAGCCTTTTGGCTAAGATCAATGTAAAAAAACCAAAAAAACAAGGAAATAGGGCCAAGGATGTAGCTCAGTAGCTCAGTGGTAGAGCACTTGCCTAGCATGTCCAAGACTCTGGGTTCCATCCCCCACACTGTAACTAAAAGAAAAAATAAAGGGGATACAGTCCTTCCTGGAATGTGCCTACTTCCTAATTTTAAAAGAACATCTCCGTCATTGGACTCTCTTCTACAGTAGTGGTAGAATGGTGCCTCTAGAACCAGTCAGGCTAGGTGTAAGTTCAGCACTGCCACTTAACTAGCCTTGAGTCCTTGAGCAAGTCCACCTCGTTTTTAAATGGGTTATAATTAATGGTACCGGCCTCACTGGGTTGTTTTGAGGATTAATAGGCTTGTAGGTTGTGTGGCAGGAAGAACACCTCCCCAAGATCTTCGTGGAACCTGGGAATATGTTGTCTTACTTGGCAGAAAGGACTTTGTAGATGTGATTAAATTAAGGATCATGAGATGATGTGGTGATCCTGGATTATTGTGTGGACCCAGAGTAGTTACAAGGATCCTTAAAAGGAAAGGGGGAGGCAGGGGAGTCGGAGTCATAGTGACAAAGTATGAGAAAGACTTGACTGGCCATTGGTAGTTTTGAAGACAGGGATGGGGACTGAGTCAGAGAATGGGGTCACTTTCTAGAAGCTGGAAAAAGCACAAACCATTCTGACATTTTGTAAAATCAAGATGCTAAAATGCCCAGTGAGGCTCATTTTTGATGGCTGTAGTCATAGCTGTAGGATTAATAAGGTTATGTTAATTTAAGTCACTAAGTTGGTGGTCATTTGTCACAGCAGCAACAGGATACTAACGCAGGTAGGTCAGCCATTATTACTCTATTTACAATTCTCTTCAGTTCTGGCTTTTTCTTGGCTGTCTTCACAGGGCAACTTAATGTAGACACTTTCAAAAAGTCAAATGCTATTTTTCTGCCCCAGTGCACACTATTTTTCAGTTTTCTTTCTTTCTTTTTCGTGGTACTGGGCTTGAATTCAGGGCCTTTTTCAAGGCAGGTGTCCTTACTACTTGAGCCACTCCACAACCCTGTTTGTGTGTTGGATATTTTTGAGATAGGGTTTCAAGAACTGTTTGGGCTGCCTTTGAACCTCGTCCTCTTAATGTCTGCCTCCGAGTAGCTAGGATTACAGGCGTGAGCCACCAGCACCTGGTTTATTTTTCAGTTTTTCGAGCCGATAGCTACTCCGTCTGCGGGCAGCCGCCTTCAAGAATAGCCCCCCCCCCCCCCCCGTTGTCCCACAGTGGACGAGGAACAAGAGTCTTCTTAGGGCAATTGTAAGACAAATATCATTCTCCTTCTAGGGGTTCCATTAACACTCGGAAAATCATATGCTTTAGTCATCAGCCCATGCAATGACTTGGCGCGCCAACACCACGCTGAGGCCCTACTCAGGAAAAAGTGAAGTCCTACTTCGGGCCTCCCTCTCTTTGGCAGCTTCTGAGCCTGCAGCGGGAGTCAAGGCCATGGGAATTAGCGCCTTGAGCCAGGAGAAATGGGAAAGGAAAGAGGAAAAGAAGTTGGGAGATCAGAGGAAGGGTGGGAGGAGAGGAGGGAAGAGGAGGCTGTGCGGTCAAGTGGTGGGAAGTGAGAGACGGCTGCCATCGCCCCTTCCTCCCGGGTCTGGCTGCAGCGGCGGAGACACAGCGCGCACCCTCGGGGCTGGGCGCTGCCCGGGAGCCTGGGGCAGGCTGGGAATGCCGAGGTGGGAGAGCGGGGTGCTGGGGAGACCGCAGGGAGGAGTCACGGCCTTGCGAACTCAAAGACTACATCTCCCAGGCCGCCACGCTTTCCAGCGGGAGTCCTAGGGCGCCGACTGCTCCCCAGTTTCCGCAGGGAAGCGCCGGGCTACCGTGCCTATTGTGCGCCCTCCTCTTCCCGCTTGGGCGTCAGTGGAGGAAGGCAACGTTTCCGTGCCGCCCGGACTTAACCCTTGCGGAGCCTAACAAGACGGCAGGGGCCCGGGAAGTCTCCGCAGCCTGCGGGGCCAGATCACGAAAGCCGAGGATCGCAGGGCGACCAGGAGGCACGAGCCCGAGCGGTGGCGCGGGGCGCGGGGGCTTCGCGGCGCCGCGCGGGGCGGGGCGCGGGCCAGCACGGGGGAGGGGAGCCGACCCTCCCGGCTGCCCGTGGAGCTCCGCGGCGGGAGCGATCGGCAGCTCGCTGAGCCGGGAGCGAGGAGCGAGGAGCGCAGGGGAGAGGCGGCTCCAGCCCTGGCGCTCACCCCCGCCTACACCCTGGGCGGGCCCAAGTGTCACGTTTGCAAGTGCTCTGGAAGGATCCGGTCGCGCTCCGGAGGCCACTTGGGCTGCGGTTTCTGCCGCCTGGCTGGGGAGGCGATGTCTAGGGGACATGCTGCCTGCTAGGCTGCATTTGTAAGCCCTCCCCGGCCCTCGAAGCCACTCGCGTCCGCACGTTCCTCGTACGCACCCGCCAGCGCGCCCCAGGACTTTCTTTGGAACAGGTACCTGCCTCCGAAGGGAGGGGGGCTAGGAGGATCCTAAGCGGGTCCCGCACTCAAGTCCACCCGGTCCACTCCTCTCGCTGTGCCACTGATGCTCTCGGTCTTTGTGTCTTTTCTCTCTCCCCCAATCCCCGCCATCAGAACCATGGGGCATCCCCCGCTGGAGTTCAGCGACTGCTACCTGGATAGCCGGATTTCCGCGAGAGGCTCAAGTGTTATGAGCAGGAGCTGGAGAGGAACCAACAAATTCATCAAAGACGTGATCAAAGACGGCAACGCGCTTATCAGTGCTATGAGAAGTAAGTGGAAGGCTTCCAGAAGCTTGTTCCCTGAGCCCGTGGCTGTGCCCTTCAAGTCTTTCTACACCACAGAGGGAAGGGAGGACGTGGGGCGATTCTCCACCCAGGTCTTTGAGGCTAACGGGTTTCCCACCCCTTGGGAGTGCGGTCAGTAGTAGTGGAACGTGGCAGATACAACCAAAACTTTGGGCCTTTCCCTTTAGTGACTTTGACCTTAAAGACATCTGTAGCGGGGCCAGGGACCCTCTTGCTTTGCAATCACCCTTACTAAAGCAGATGATTTTTTCAAATGGACTGTCCTCCTGTAGTGTCAGACATGTACAGTACCTCTGTCTGGGACAAGACGACATCCAAGCTAAGCACAGAACTGCCCCAGCCCTTCCGAAAGAATTGGGAATTAACACCAGCAGCTTGAGTAAGGATTTTGTCCTGGCCTCTGGTTACTACAGATAAGTGGTGGTGGTGGTGGGGGCAATAAAACATTACCCATGTCAAATTATTTTCTAAGGAAAACACCTTTGCCCTCGTCATTTTTTTATACTTTAACATACTGACCTGTGGCTTAGGTCAAGGTCAGGTTAAGTGGAGGATTATTGGTTGGCTTCACATGCCAATGAATTCTGCTTCCTTGTGGAACAAAGAGCTGTCTGCTTCCTGGCACAAGGAGCCCAGGCCCAGGGGAGTCAAATACATGGATAGGGTTGGGGGCCTCCGTGTTGGAGGAACCTCACCTAGCTTGGGTTGTCCAGTGGTCACAGCTGACTCAGCTATGGGACTCTCTTCCCCTCCCTTTCTGTGTGTGGAGGTTTTCATTTCTGCTGGTTGGCAGGAGGCTTGGAGGAAAAGAAAGAATAATAAACAGTCCCAAGGAGAGTGCAAGCAAGCCAACCCTTTGTGCCAAAGGGTATATCCAGAAGAATGGAGGGTAATGATTGAGTGCAGTGATCATTAATTTTTTCTCTTCTTGTGGAAAAGATGGTTGTGAAAAAAAAGGCAAATGTGTCCCTCAATGCCTACACCTTTTTCTGAGTGAGTTTATCCCCAAAGCACTGTATCCAGATCCAGTGTGGGGACCTGATTAGGTAGATGCAACTGAGCAAGAGCAGAGAGAGCCTTAGAAGTGAGGCATGATGGTAACTGTGACCAGCTGCTCTTTCTTGTGCAGCTTTCTGATTTGTCCCTAGGAATTTGTGCTTTTCCTGCACGTGTCCAATTCTGGTCAGAGTGTAAAAACTCTTTCAAATTCCTGCAGATTGTTTGAGTTTGATCATTTGATAGTTTTTTCCTATTGTGGCCTGGTCAGGAGGAAACTCCTGGTAGTACCTTCAAGATGGGGTATTTGAAATGCTGACCCTTAGGCCAGGCTTTGGGGTGTGTCTGCACTTCGTAGAGTTCACTGAGAACTTAAGGATATGCAGGTTGTGCCATAGAAATAGCTGGAAAGGTGAAGGTTCACTGGAAGAAGGGGAATGGTTGGGTTGGTTTTTTCTTATACCAGACCGCTTGGTGCAATATCTATGGTCAATTGAAGATCATCATAAACTCTAGGAAAGTGTTTGTGTTTTAAAAATGACCAGATAAGGTATATCAGAGAGATTAAGATTTGCAAGAAAAAAACATGGTTCATTAAAACATTTGTGAGAAGGCAATTTGTGTGTGTGGTTGTGTGTGTGGTGCGGTGGTTCAAACCAGGACCTCAAGCATGCTAGGCAAGTGCTTTACTATGGAGCTACATCTCAGCTCTGGGTTTTTTTTGAGACAGTGTCTTACTATGTATCCCAGACTGGCTGCAAACTTTCAATCCCCCTGCCTCAGTTTCCCAAGTACTGAATTGCAGGTGTGTGCCACTGTGCCCGGCAGGGCAAGTGTTTTGTAAGTTAGAAGCAAGTAGTAGTTTTTATTCTTTCCTTCTTTTTTAAGGCTAAAAGTGGTAAGAATCAGCAATCATGCAAGCCCAAATCTTGACACATGGGCAACAGATCCAAAGGATATTCTGGGCTAGGGGGCTCTTTGATATTTGTGGTGGTTTTGTCTTTCAAAGTATATATATATATATAAAGCCAAGAATAGAATGGGTGGGAGTTAAACCCAGAAGCCAACCAGTGCTCCGTTGCTTTTTTTAAGCTCATGCATGGTAAACACTTCAGTAGCAAGAGGCAAAGGTGGGATGTTTCCCGCTGTCTTGACCACAGTAATGTTTATCCTCCCACTCTACTTCCTCGCACTGTGCCAGCTGGGCTATTTCCTGAGAGTAGGTAGGGTAGATAGGAAACAAAGGTGTGCTCTTGCTTTGTGTGGAGGGAAATGAAAAAATACCACCGGAATTGCAGTTAGAAGACCTGGGGTACAGTCCTGGCTTTCCCATCTTGGTGAAGCACTTACTTCATCTGTAAAGTGGGTATAATTAAAAAATTTAAAGGAATGTTGAAGGACAGGGAAATGTTATCTATTCCCATTTTGCTCATCAGACACTGTATACATTATTGAATTATGACACTCCACCCAGTAAATTTGTACAGTTGAAAGTGGTGGTAGACAGTTACCGGTGGCTCATGCCTGTCATCCTAGGGGGCAGAGATCAGGATGATCTTGGTTTGAAGCCAGCAAATAGTTCTCAAGATCCTGTCTTGAAAATACCCAACACAAAACAGGGCTGGGGGAGTGGCTCAAGTGGTAGTGCCCCTGCCCACCCAGTGTGAGGCCCTGAGTTCAAACCCCAGCACCACCAAAACCAAAAATGATGGTAATTATATCCATGTCACAGGGTGGTTGTAAGGCTCAAGGGACTTAGTGGATTCTGAAAGTGCTTCGTAAATGGAAATGGCTAAGCTGTGTGCATTGTTGATAATGTCTTCAGGTTACTGAAATGTAGTAAAAGGCGTAAGCAGAAGTAGTTGGAAGCAGAGCCCTTTTTTCCTGTTATCTTGTTGGAAAATGTCACTCCTTACACTGGCATGCCTCAGCAGTGAGTTTTGTATTCACGTGTGTAGATTGGATCCATCTTGGCATCTGGAGGCTGGCATTAAAAGGAAAATGAGGTGGGTGCCAGTGGCTCACGCCTAGCTACTCAGGAGGCAACGATCAGGAGGATCTCAGTTCAAAGCCAGCGGGGCAAATAGTTTGTGAGACCCTATCTAGAAAAAAATGCTTCACAAAAAAGGGCTGATAGAGCGGCTCAAAGTGTAAGCCCTGAGTTCAAACCCCAGTACCGCAAAAAAAAAAAAAAAAGAAAAAGGAAAATGATTGATACATTTTTATTTAATTAAGCTAATCATCAACTTAACTAGCTAGTGTTTCTAGGAACCAATGAGACTTGGCACACTGCTGAAAAAATCAGCTGCGGTTTTTCTTAAAGTTGTTCACCCCAGTAGAACTTGATTTTCACACTTTCTCTCACTTGTGTTTGGTTTTGTACAGAGCTATAGATAAGGCCTCCGTCACAATCATCCCTGTGTGATGATTGATTCATTAAACGTAAGTCCTGTTTGAATATTTGGATTTACTTAGCTCAATGCTTAGAGGAAATTGGTGTCTTGAGTGATATTCAACCTGTCTTCCTCGGAGAAATGGTTGACTCCCTCTCTCGCTTTAAATTGATCAGTTTTAATTTTTGAAGCCCAAGATGATTGTGACTTAAACTAATGGAAGAGAAAAACTCCATTATTCTGAAAGATGACTGCCCTGCTCACTTTCCTGTGTCCTTTGTTTTTATGTTGTCAGTTTCAGTCCTTGCACTTACTGAGATTTGGTGGGCATTTTTCAGAACATGCGATGTGGCCCCTCGCTTATAGCCCCAGGCAACATGAGCTACTGATCCAGTTATATATGGTTCAGCAAACGCATGCCATTCATTCTGTAAATACTCGCGCACATACTGTGTTCCAGTCATTGTGCAGAGGACTGTGAGGTACACAGAGTGAGTCACACATGGATACTGCCCTCAGGAAAGTCCTAGGCTCACTGGGATAGAAGACATGGGTAGAAATCACTGTTACATAAGGTAGTAGGTATAGACAGAGCCATTGTAGAGAAGGACAGCTGGACATGAATGTGGCATTAGAGGGAGGGCTCATTTCCTGTTGGGAAGACAAGGGACAGGCAAAGGAAGAAGTAGCATTGGAGCCGGGCAGAATTAGCAACACTTATCACTGGTTAGGCTGTTCCATGTGCGGGGCATTCCATATTGCAACAGTTTTAGGAGGTAAGGATTGTTAGTATTTTTTTTGCAGGGCTGGGGATTGAATCCAGGGCCTCACAAATTCTTGGCTCTACCACTGATCCACACCTCTAGCTCACGGTTATTATTACCATTTTATAGATGAGAAAAAGTTCAGTTTCTTCCTGAATTAATGAGACAAATCTGAATTAGAACCTAGACTCAACTGTAAAGGCCCTATTTATTTTATAACATGACACTGGCATTTCATGGACAGAGAGTGCAAAGAGACAACAAAAAATTCAGGTCATCTGGGATATGAGCTACACAAAATGAGGTTGGAATGGAAGGTTGAGGTGTGACTATCTAGGGCCTGTTAAGGATTTCAGACTTCAATGGCAGGGTGTCTGGAAAAGAAGGTTTTGGTAGGACGGGATTAGTTTGAGCTGTGTTTTAGGCAGATCGATCGGAGAGTGATACATAAGGTGTTAGCAATCCAACACAAATATTTTGTGACTTTTTAACTTAATTTGGAGCATTTTTTTTTGAGAGCGGGTCTCACTGTGTAACATAAGCTGGCCTCCAACTTGTGATCTTTCTGCCTCAGCCTCCCAAGTGCTGGGATTACAGGCATGCGCCACCATTCCTGGCTATAATTTTTTTTTATATAGCTTGGGGTCGGCACACCTTTTCTGTAAAGGGCCATATCTTTTAGGTGTTGAGGACCATACAGTCTGTGACAATTACTCATCTTTTTCATTGTTGTGAGAAAGGTATCATAGAGAACAAGTAATAGGAATAAGAATATTTGCTGACACTGAAATGTGAATTTTATATACTTTTC